TTATTTTTAAGATTTTCTTTTTTTAATTATTTTTATTTATTTAATGTGTATGAGTGTATTGCCTGCATATAGGTAGGTGCACCCATGTCATGCAGTGCCTGAGGAGGTCAGAAAAGTGTCAGATCCCCTGGAACTGGAGTTACGAACAATTGTTAGCTGCCATGTGGGTGCTAGAATCGAACCCCTGTCCTCTGCAAGAGCAGACAGTGCTTTTGACCACTAAGCCATCTCTCAACCCCCAAGATTTTATTTTTATTTTCAATTACATGTCTATATGTGTATCTTGAGTGTGAATTTGTGTACATTAGTGCAGTGCCCTCAGAGGACCAGAAGAGGCATCAGATCCCCTGGGGCTGGAGTTACGGGTAGTTGTAGCTACCTGACATGGGTGCTGGAAACCAAACTTGGGTCCTCGCCAGTACATGCTCTTAACTGCTAAGCCATCTCTGCAGCTCCCTCATTTTTTGAAAAATATTGATTCCACATATGACTGAAAACATGTTACTTTTTTTTCTGAAACTGACATTCGCTGAACATAATGACTCATTTATTTTTCTGCAAATAATATCATTTCATTCTTTTGGAAGAATCATATTCTATTATGTATATAGACGTGTTTTCTTTTTTTCATTTGTCAGCTGGTTCCATCACTTGGATATTGAGATTAATGCCAAGTTACAGATGGCTGTATTTCTGTTGTATGTGACTGCTGACTCTTTGGGTAAATACCCAGCGGTGGTACAGCTAAATTCTTAGATGGTACTACTTTTAGTTGGTTGATTGGTTGATTGGTTAATTTGCCTGCCTTCTTGGTTTTTATGATGTTGAGGTTGGAACCTAGGACCTGTCTTTTGCATGTGCAAGTGCAAATTTAAGGATCCATATTTTGTACATAGTTAGAAATTACATTTGCCTAGGGATATGAGAGCCTTGGGGTTTGCTCTAAGATCCATGAGCTCTCCAGCTTTGTGTATTTGGCTAGGTTTACAGTACCAGATATGAGCTTCCTCCCACTGAGTGGGCTTTAAGTCCAATTAGGTAGCTGTTTATCCTAGTTTGTTCTTCATTGCTGTGACAAAATACTTTGACCACTACCAACTTGGGGAGGAAGGGGTTTATTTAGCTTACATCTCCCAGGTCACAGTTCATCTGGGAGCCCAAGGTAGGAACTCGAGGCAGGAGCTGGAGCACAGGGCATGGAGGAACACTGCTTACTAGCTTGCTCCCCTGGCCCCCGCTCAGCCTGCTTTCTTATGTAACACAGGCCCACCTGCCCAGGGGTGGCACCACCCACAGTGGGCTGGGTCCTCCCACATCACTCATCAAGAAGATGCCCCTCCAGACATGGCCACAGGCAGGTCCAATAGAGGCAATTCCCCAACTGAGGCTCCCTCAACCCAGGTGTGTCAAGTTGACACTAAAGTTATCCAGCACACTGTTGATTACCCCAAGATAAAAGTGCCACTAGTCAATGTTGTTTGCTGTGCTGGTCATTGAAGTGGTTTTTAGGTCTTGAAGCTGGGGTTGGACCATTGATTGATGTTCTCCCTTAGCAGCTTGCATGCTGCTCTCCAAAGCTATGAGAGCTAGCCTTCAGGGCTTCCAGGTCAGTTCCAGTTCCATTGCTCCAAATCCTGTGTCAAAAGTATGTCCTGTCTTCAGCAATAGGGTCTTACCATCATGTTCTGGGAGGCAATCAAGGGCTGTGGCAATAGCCTGAGTAATTTTGGGAGTCTCTTGAACCACCTTGGCCAACAACTCAAAGGAAGGTTTCTCCTGTCTGGCACTGTTCCTTGATATGTAGCCTTCATTTATACTCATGGACTCATGTAGAGATATTTTATGTGTAGCTTTTCAGTAGGTTATTGGGCTAAGATGATTCCCTCTGGTTTTTTATACTATCTAGGCACTATTTATGTCTCCTCTTTCTCTCCCTGTCTTACCCTCCCTCCCCGTCCTTCCCATTTAAAGTGTCCCCATTTTCCCCATTTCTCCCTTGATAATTTTTGGATGCTGTGGTCCCACCTCTTTTGAGCTCCTTCTTCCCCTTTATTCCAGTAGTTCTTTGTATAGCCCTCCTCTCCTTCCCCTTTAACTACTCCCTTTTTACATATTTCTCCCTTAGTAAGGCCTGTCTCCTACTATTCTTCTGTCAGGTCCCTTCTTTCCCTTTACCTCCCTGGTTCCCTTCCATTTTCCTGGATTCTGCAGTTACATCAGGATATGTACTCACTTATAAAGATTGGTGCTAGGATCCACAAATGAGGGAAAACATACTTCTTTTGTTTTTCTGAGTCCATGTTACTTCACTTAGTATGACAGTTTCTAGATCTATCCATTTAGCTGCAAATTTCATTATTTCATCTTTCTTCAGTGTTTTTCTTTTCTTGACAGTAGGGTGGTCATTCTGAGTAAAGTAAGGTGAAATCTCAAAACAATTTTGATTTGCATTTCCCTGATGGCTAAGAATCTTGAATGTTTTTTTCATGTATTAGCACTTGTATTTTTTTTTTTTTGAGAATAGTCTCCTTAATTTGGGTGTGATGGTACATACTTGCAATCCTAGTACCCAAGAAACTGAGGCAGAAGGATTATTGCAAGTTCAACTCCACACAGATAGCAACACAATAGATACCAGGGGCCAGCCAGGGCACTATAATAAGACTCTATTGCCTGAATTATTTGTTCTTTTGCTATTACCCCCATCACATGAATGGCGAGCAGAGCTGTTCTCTCATTTGCAGGCTATCTTTCCACTATGTTGATTGTTTCCCTTGTGGTGCAGACCTTTTAGATTCATGTGGTTTCTTTTTTCAGTTCTGGCTGCTGTTCGCTTGAGCTACTAGAGTCCTTTACAAGGAGCCCTTCTCTGTGCCTTATTTCTGAAGTGTTTTCATATGTTTAGCTCTAGGTCTTTCAAAGTTCAGGTCTTAGATCCCATTTTGTTCGTTGGTTGATTTTGGTTTTTTTGAGACAGGGTCCCTCTGTACCCCCAGCTGGCCTGGAACTTGCTTTGTGACCAGGCTAGACTTGATCTCACAGAGATCCACCTGCCTCTGCTTACCAAGTGCAGGGATTAAGGGTATGCACCAGCAGACCTGGCTCCTTTGATCCATTTTTAATTGATTTTTGTAAAAGGTAAGAGACATGGAAATAATTCATTCTTCAACATGTGAATATCCAGTTTTCCCAGTACCATTTGTTGAAAGTTTGTCTTTTCACCATTCTGTGTTTTGACTTCTTAGTCAAGAATGAGGTAACATAACTGTATGGATTTATTTTGTAGTCTTCCATTGGTATGTGTATTTGTTTTTGTGTTAGAACTATACAGTTTTTGCTATGATAGCTCTGTAGATAATTTGAAATCAAGTATTATGATACCTCCAGCACTGCTTATTTTGCTCAGGTATGCTTTGGCTATTTGGAATCTTTTTTAAAAATATATTATTTTTATTTTATGCATATGAGTGTATTGCCTGCATATATATAAGTACACCTGTGCAATGTCTGCAGAGGTCAGAAGAAGGCAAGTGCCTTTACCCACTGAGCCATCTCACTAGCACCTCTCTGGTTTTTTAATGTATAGCACTCATAGCTGTTGTGTGACTTCTCCTGGGAAGACACAAATTACTTTTGTTTACAGTTACAATGGAAAGTCTATTTATCCTTCAATTTTAAAGCAAATTTCACTAAATGCACAATAGACTGAGTTGGCAGTTATTCATTCTCAAGACTTGAAACCCATCAGTCTGGCCTCAGGGTTTCTGCTGGCAAGTCTGCTCTCACTACAATAGATTTACCTTCGTAACTTGGTATTCCCCTGTGCAGCGTCAGCGTGCTCTGTTCTGTACTGGTGTTTAGCTCCACTGTGACATGGAAAGGCTGTTTTCTGCCCGTGTCTTTTGGGGATTCTGAATGTCTCCTATACTTAAATGTTCATTTCTTTACCTACATTTGAGGATTTTTCTGTTGTAATTTCATTGAATGCCTTTTGTCTGTATCTTAGTGCCTTTTTCTATACTGCACATTCACAGACCTGTTCTCTTGTTTGTGTTCTCAGAGGTCTGGAATATTGTGGTCATGATTGCTTGTTTTCATTTTGTTTTAGTTTTTCAATCTTTATCAATATCCAAATGTAATAATTTCTTCATGTTGTTTTTCAGTCTCTGACATTCTTTCTTCTTGTTAGCATCAGGGCTTCCTTCATGTTAGAGCTCCCCTTCATGTCTAGGCCAATTCCTACTTGCTCCGGAGATCACCTGGTTTGTACACAGGGGTAGCAAATTTCTAAGCCAAGGGGTAGCCATAAGTAGTCAGAGTTCTTCAGCAGACATGGAGAACTGGGGGAACCCAGCAATCTGACTGCTGATCTGGGTGCTCCCAGACACTGCCAAGCATTTAAAACACCCTGCAGGAGGAAGGTGTCGGAAAATCTGCTGGTCTCCTGTACCTGGGCTGAGAGCACTCACTCCTGCCCTGACACATGGCAGAGAGGCAGCGCTAAAAGGCCAGGCAGCCAGTTGGCCAGTGGCTCACTGCTCTTCATCAGCAATAGGGTTACATTGCTCACCACGTAGGGCAGGGCCACCAATAACCACATCACCCAACCTTCCTGATACCAGAACTTCTAGGCAGACCTAAGTCAGCCCTCCCCCTCTCTATGACTGCCTCTTGTGGAGTTCTTCCACACAGACACAGTGGCAGCATGTCCCTAAGCTCCCTAACTTATGACTGTTCTTTGATTTTGGGGGTCCCCAGATTAGCTCAGCTGCAAACAATAGGCCCCTCTCAGGATGGCACTGGGCTGTAGCACTGCCAGGAGTGGACACATCGTAACAGATTTCTTCTCCACAGCTGGCCTGCTGTGCAGAAGTCACAGTCACAGTAAAATCCCCACACAGCATTTAAGATCTGCTCCACTCGTGGGGTTTTCTGGCAGCTGGGACTGCCAGTCTGTGGACATTAGGGCCGCCGCCTTAACTTGTGGTTGCAGCTTCAGCTTCTCCCCCTCAGGAGCTGGGGTTGAAATTGAAGGCGGTTTCCTACGCCTTCTGCATCACCACTCTGTTTCACTATGCTTTTTTGATGTCCTGTCACATCTTTCTTTTCTCAGTGCTTTTCCCTTCCTTCTTTCCTTGACTCTTCTCGTTCAAGGAGTTACACAGGAGCGTCTACTCACCTTCCTACCCTACCCTCCTACTTCTTTAAATTACACTCTTGGTTGGGAAGGGAAGAAGGCTGAGAACCCTATTCATAACCTATTCTGTAAAGTTTTTTTCAACATCTATGCAACTGTTGACAAAACGGTTGAAATAAAATAAGACTAATAGGAACAGGAAATGTTTTCATTCTGTAAGCTATTATCATTTTTATAAACTGATTTCTCTTATAAACCACATTTTAGCTGTGAAATCCTGAGTAACACTTGTCCTGTGAACTTTAACTCATAATATTGATGTGGTTTCCATAGAAACTATAAAATGGCATATTTGCAAACTCCAGAAAAAGAAACCTGTTGTATTTCAGATGTCACTGCACTGCGACAGTATGAATGTTCTCTCTGACATAGAAACTAAGAAAGGCAAAACACAGTACGTAGTCCCAGAAGGGCAAAGAGACTAGGTTACTTAATTTTCTAGCTAGCGTCTCACAGAACAGCCATGAAAAGACCTTTCAGACAGTGTCAGCATGCTGAATTCTGGCTGCTGAGGGAATAGTGAATACATAGTGTAGTTGGGCGTGTCTATAATCATGACATAAAAAGAGTGGACAACATTAGCTGTTTGTAACGCAAAGAGTAGCTGCTTAGTGGACTCCCAGGCTAGGCCAGTGACAAGCCACCTACAAGAGCTTCTTAGAGTGTTTGGAGCCAGTGGACTCACATGCTATTAGCACATTAGTTGTTTCTATGTAAATCATGCTCTGTCGCCATAGCTACCATAAAGTGAAGTCTGCTACCCTAGAGGTATTCTGCAGGGGCCTTTACAGCTGTCATGCTTACTAAAACCTTGGGAAGCAGGTACTGGTATCATTACGCAGCTGAACAAGCAGGCTCAGAGAGAATCACAGCTTTCATTGCAGAGCCAATAAGGAATAGCCTGTAACGAACCACAAGTCCAGGGCTCTTTTTGTGATCCGTTAGCTTCCTTCTGGGTGCTTTGTTCTCAAATACTTAAAACATCCCTTTTACAGACTTGAGTAGCATATTAACTTGTATTGTTTAAAAGAGCAAATAAGGCTAGGCATGGTGGCACATGCCTGTAGTCCCAGCACTAGGGAGGCAGAGGCAGGCGGATGGATCTCTGTGAGTTTGAGGCCAGCCTGGTCTACATAGTGAGTTCCTGGTCAGCTGGGGCTAATTACATACATGCAGGCAAAGCACACACACACACTAAATAAATAAATTAAATAAATAAATAAATAAATAAAAACTTTAATCTTGATTGCCAAATTTCTGAGTTTACTATATTTGATAGACAATTTCAGAGTTCTGCTCTGGGTCTTTTGCAGTTTTTTTGCATTCTCCCTTTTCAGTCTCTTACAAGCAAGCTTACTACAGTAGTTAAGGCAGAAGCTATGGTGGTTAAAACTGCTCAGTCTGAATCTCAGCTCTGCACCCTCTTATCTATATATCTGTAGGAGGTTGTCTACCCTCCCTGTGGACAGTAATAGTACCTACTTCATGGGATTCCTGAAGCCCAGTGTCCATCAAGTGTGTAGAGTAGTACCTGGCACACAGTAATCACTCTACAAATACTACCTAACATTACAGTTGTGATTACTGTCATATAACACTGTTAAAATCTATTTTATATTTTAATGTACACAATAGCATTATGTATTTTTATTTGATATAATTTTGTAAAGATTTTGGCATTATACACAATTTTTGTTCTTACCAGCAAAGCTTCAATTTTTCCCCAATTGTCTGTAACATTGTGCTTTTATATTATTTATATTGCTTGTATATTAATTGTACATAATAGTGTATCATTTTTTTTTTTGGTCTTTTTTGAGACAAGGTCTCCCTGTAGCTCCAGCTGGCCTGGAACTTGCTATGTAGACCAGGTTGGCCTCGAACTCACAGAGATCTGCCTGGCTCTGCCTCCCGAGTGCTGGGATTAAAGGCATGCACCACCATGCCCGGCTATAATAGTGTATACATTTTTATGATGTGTTTGAAGGCCTGGAGGGATGGATTTGTGGTTTAAAAAAACACTTGCAGATCTTTCAGAGGACCAGAGTTTGTTTGGTTCCTAGCACCCACATCAGGTGATTCACAACTGCCTGTAGCTCCAGCTCCAGGGGATCTAATGCCTTTTTCTGGCTTCTCCAAGCACCCTACACACACACTCTCTCTCTCCCTCCCTCCCTCCCTTCCCCCCCTCTCTCTCAAATCAGTAATAGATAAATCTTTCAAAAATGTGTTTTGATCATATTTACATCCCTCACCTGCCCTTGCCCCCCCCCAACTGACCCTCGCCCTCCTCCCAGCTAGTCCTCTCCTGCTTTCATGTCTGTTTTGGTGATCCACTGAGTTTAATTAAGGTTGCTTTCAGGAGTGTGGGGGAAAGGTTATTTACAAGAGCATTGACAACTTACCAGTGGTTACACTGCTGAAGAAAATGTCCCTTCTTCCTCAGCAGCCATCACTGACAATAGAACAGGTCCTTATGGCAGTGCAGTATCGCACTAAGGCAGCATCTGAGTAGACAGCCTCAATCTTTGCATCCATTTCAAACAATAGTGAGACCCAAACTGTCCTGAGAACATGTTCCTTCAGATTTCTCCTGGAACTCTGTTCTTGAACAAAGGCCTTGCTTGACTGAAAACATACATCCAGCGTGAAATAGGGAAGGAAAAGCAGAATTTGTCCTATCAGGATATTTTCCCTTTCTGACTCCTAGTGACCTAGAACAGCAACCTAACCATAAACAGATGTTATTTATCTATCCCACCTGTTGTCCAACACAAAAGGGGTAATCTGTGCTTGCAGCACTTGATATTCATATCACACACACACACACACACACACACACACATATCATTCTGGGTCAAGGACAAGGAAGGGTCATGAGGGATTAAGTCTATATGTCTAGGTTATAAGAGGAGCCCAAGGCCTGGTAAGCTTGTGATGGTATCACAGAAAAGTTATTCCCATAGATCCTCAGGGAAGGGTGGGGCTTCATGAGCCCCTCCCCCAAGACAAAATATCAACAGGCCCAATCTTCAGACAGTCCTGTGTGTACAGTTGTTAAATCTTATAGATGAACAGCTTTCCAAATAATATGTGTTTTTGTATTTAGTATGCTTTCCAGTGCAGCATATGAATTATTTTTAAATAGAGTGAATTAACTTCGTACTTAGCATTTTTCATTTGGTCTTAGTAATTTGTCTAATTATTTTAATTCAGGACATGGCCCAGTAATCCATAATGCTGAAGCTAAAATTTTGGAATACATTTCTCACAGAAATAACCGAGAAGAACAAATTCTTTCAGTGATTCGTGATAACTTTGAAAAATCACTTACAGTAACGGAGCTCGTAAAAATGATTTACAAGGTAATTTTCTTTCATCTTACTTGTACATAGCTACAAATTTATTTATTAAGATAATTATTTTATGGATTATAATATGGTTAACTTACTGCATCCAAGTTAAATAATGTCGCTTGTCTAGACTTCAGAACAGCAATTTCAAGTTTAAAAAAAATTGTCCATAGAAAACAAAAATGGTGATCCTGAGCCATCATTAAATGTTATTTACCTGGCTCAGCAGGAGAAACTGCTGTGAACAGTATTATAGTGACACATATCATTCTAGCCATCTTGGGTATCTGGTGTCCCAGCCTTCAGGAAGTGACAGGCTAAATTTTTTTTAAGTGGGGAATAATGGCAGTAAGAAGTTATAGCCTAACAATGGGGAAATACGCATCAAGAGCATGAGCAGAAGAACTTCACATGTAGGGAAAGAGCTCCACACCTTAGGGCCCTGTAGCCCTGTGTGGAAATCCATTAATATTACTCGGGTTTTTTAGCAAGTGTTTAATATCTGCTATGCTAGTAGCATAAATTAGTGGTTAAGTGTGTAGACTTTAGTGTAAGATTACCTGAGTTTTAAAAGTTCCACTCTGGTAGACACAATAAGTTGTACATACCTACAGCCTCAGCACTCGGGGTGGGTCACAGTATACAGTGAGACCCTCAAAAAGTAAAAGTCCCACTACCACAACTTGTATAGCCATCAAATACATGAGGTTGTTCCTAAAGATCAGTTTCTGAAGGTAACCTTTAATTTAAGGTGACAATTAACAAAGGTCCTTATTGTACAATAATCTTATGTTACCAACAGAGTATTAAATCATACCCAGTGTGCTTCATTTCAAAAGAGAATGATGAAGAAATCAGAAAATGCCTGTAGCTGGGGATGTAGCTCAGGAGTAGAATGTTAACCTAGCATATTTGAGTTCCTGGGTTAGGATTCCCAGCACCACCAGAAAGAAAAGTCATTGGAAAAATTAATATAGATATTTTAATCGCAGGGTTGGGAAGATAGCTCAGTCAGTAAAGTGCTTGCTGTGCAAATGTGAGGACCCAAGCTCAATCCCCCACAACTAATGGTTGCATCGTATCCCATAATCCCAGTGCTGGGGGGGGGCGGGGCAGAGAGAAGAGGATCCCTGGAGCTTTCTGGCCACGTAGCTAGAAAACCAGCGCGCCTCAGGCTCAGTGAGAGACCCTTTCTCAAAAAATAAGTTGGAGAGCAATCAAAGAGGATATCTGACATCAGCCCCTCACTTCCATATACATATGCACACACATGCCTACCCATCACACACACACACAAAAAAAAATGAGTGCCCATACACAATACAAAAAAATTTAAAATGTATGAAACAGCTCATTTCCTGTCTAATAAAAGAGTGTAGACACTCCAAGCTACATCAGTACTTCAAGAGTTTTTCCTTTTCTAATATTAAGGACAGATAGCAAAACTCTCTCATACCCCTCACAGAGGAATCATCTACAAATAGTAGTTCAGAGGTGTATTCTGTGTATACACAGACCATAGTCATATGTAAAACACTTGATGCATAGAATGGTATGAGATATTCTGAGGTAATTCATTCATTCAGTGTTTACTGAATCATTTGCCGCACACTAGAGTAGGTGCAGGAATACAAAGATGACTCTAGGATTTCTGGTTTAGTGAAGACAGACCTGTTTCAACAAATACCTATAATACTGGCTCTGTCATAATAGTTCCCTTCACTGAGCACATTACTACATGCTAGACACTATGCTAAATGTATTTTGTTGTTGTTGTTTGGTTGGTTGATTGGTTGGTTTGGGTTTTTTGAGGCGGGCTCACTATAGCCCCAGCCGACCTGGAATGTGCTGTATAGACCAGGCTGACCTCCATCTCACAGAGATCTGCCTGCCTCTCTGCCTCTGGAGTGTTGGGATTAAAGGTGTGGGCCATCTTGCTCATCTCAGTGCTAAATATTTTATCCATGTTGAGCATCCTTAATCCAAAATACTCCAACACTCCAAAGCTTTCAGATGTTGGAACATTTTGAATATGCAAATCTTATATTTTTCCCACACCAAACTTGAGGATACAAAAATAGAAATCAGTTCTACATAGTGAAGATGCAGAGCAGTAAGTCTTGTCTAGAAAAACTTCAGCCTAGTCAAGAACTTGAATCTTAAGGAAGGAGTAAGCATTTTCTAGGTCACAGTAGAGGACAAGGAAGCTCATTCTAGACAGAGTGAAGGATATGTTCAAATACTAGGACTAAGAGAAGAGCATTGTGTGTTTGGAAACCCACAAAGAAGGCACGTATCATCAGAGCATAGGTTGCATATGTGGGTGGACAGGAAGAGAGGCCCAGAAAATGAGGTAGGAAAAGTAGATGTGGTCAGATCACAAAGACTTTACTGTCAGCTAAAAAAATTTAGATGTTAACCCAATAATCTGGGGATGATCACTTAGAAATTTTAACTGGATAACTCCTACATTGAGATCTAGAATATCATACTGGTGGGTATGGTAAAATACTCTAACCAAAAGCAACTTGAGGGGAAAAAGGATTATTTGGCTTACATTTCCAGATCACAATTCATCATTGAGGGAAGTCAAGGTAAGAACTCAAGGCAGAAACCATGGAGGAACTACTTACCGCCTTGCTTACAGGCTCATGCTTAGTTACCTTTCTTATATTATACAACCCAGGACCACCTACCTAGGGATGCTACTGCCCAGAGGCTGGGCCTTCCTACTTGAACAAGTAACCTAGACAATCCCCCAGACAGACCCACAAGCCAGTCTGTTCAAGGAAATTCTCAATTGAGGCTTTCCAGTCAGATGACTGTAGACAGCATCAAGATGGCAATTAAAGCTAACTAGGAGCCTACATGGAGGCACCTGCCTTTAGTCCCAGCCGTGGGGAGGCAGAGGCAGGTGGATCTTTTTGAGATCAAGGCCAGCCTGTTCTACATAAGTTCCAGCTCAGCTGGGGCTGCAGGGAGACCCTATCTCAAACATCAAAAAGCTAAGCTAACTGGGACACAGATAGTGAATTTAGTCAAGAAAATTAGCTTTGTAACTATAATCCTTATTTAAATAATAAAAGAAAAATTTTCACTTTTTTTTCATTCAGTTAACACATCAATATTATGTTGTTATTTTAAGAAGAGTTTACTGTGAGTCGTAAGATACAATGACATTATCATATAACCTAAAAAACTTAAAAGCTAGGAATAAATTGTATATTTATTCACTCCTTAATTTATAAATATTAATGAGTGTCTACTGTGTGCTAGTATGTTAACACTAGGAATTCAGTAGTGAAGAAAACAGACACTGCTGTTGTTTTATGGCATGTAATCTATTTTGCCTCTAGAAATATTTAAGAATATAGTGTCCTAAAGCAAGACCATTTACAAAGTAGAACTTTTTTAGATTAATACTATTTTTGTTTTGTTCCTGGTCTTTTGAGGTAGGGTCTTGTGTATCCCAGGGTGGCCTCAAACACACTGTGTATGGAAGATGACCTTGAACATCTTATCCTCCTGCCTCTACCTACCAAGAGCTGAAATTAAGGTGTGTGTGCCATTGTATCTGGATGGAACCTGGGCTTTTTATGCTAGGCAAGTATTCTACCAATCGAGCCACATCCCCAGCCCTCGGTTGTTATTTTTTTTAATATGTTTAAGTTAAATATTTCTTTTTTGTTGTGTGTATTTCATTTTACTTTAAAGATTAAAAAAATTAGGTTTTCTTTAAAAGAGAGATTTTTCTTTCTCTTGTTTTCCTTTCAGAATGTTCCTGAGAATTTACTTAAAATGGCAGAACGTAATCTCTTGCTTCATTTGAAAAAACTAGAAAAAGAAGGAAAAATATGTAAGTGTATTTCACAATTTTAATTTTTTTACTAGCATTTAAAATACTTTTGCAGATACATGAGTTTCCTTTTAGCTACAACACCACCCATCTGAGTTTTCACATAACTGTCACATTCAGTGGGAAAGATTAAACACTAGGAAGATTAGCAGCATGAGGCCAGTTCATCACAAATTGGAACCAAAAACTCGAAGAGGAATTAGACTCTCTTGTAAGATTCAAGTCCTCACCCACCCTAATGACACCCCAAAGTATGCATTGGGAGGATGGCCTCTCTTCAAGATACCAAGACCAGGGGTTGGAAAGATGGCTCAGTGGTTAAGAGCACTGGCTGCTCTTACAGAGGACCCAGGTTCAATTCCCAGCACCCACTTGGTAACTAACAACCATCTGTAATTACAGTTTCAGGGGATCCAACACCCTCTTCTGACCTCCATGGGTATTGCATGACATGGGTGCATTTATATACATGCAGGCAATACACTCTTACACATAAAATAAATATAATAAATAAAATAGTTTTTAAAAAAGATTCCAAGACCAGGAAGACTAGCATATGGAAGACTTGAAAATAAGCAAATTTTAAGTGGTAGTGAGGTCAGAAATGGTAAAGTAGTAATTGTATAGCTATTGATGGTAAGTTAATTTTCAAATCAGCCAGTGTTACGGAAATTTAGTCCTTAAAAATAAAGTTCTCCAAAGCCTGAATTTGTGTAGAAGCCTTAGCAGTGTTTACATATGCAAAAGAAACTCACTTTATATTCATCAACAAAATTAATTTTAAGAACATGTGCTTTTTCTTCCTATAGAATAGCTTAGAATCCAGTGATGTACTTATCTCTTGGTTTTATTTTCTGGTTTTCTTTCCACAGTTTGCACCAACAATCCTGAAAAGAAATGGAAATGTACACTTTAGTTTCAGATGAATGAAGTTTTCTTTTGCTTTGTTTATACAGGATGGTATGTTTTCTTAATTTTGGATTATTACTGCGAATATAGAATGTAGGACTGTGAAAATAATCCTATACACTAAAATATGTAAATTACATTGTACATGTATAGCACAGGTTATTGATCTATCTTTTACCAAATATTCAGAATCTAGCACTTTGTCCATTTTCTATGAATTAAGTAAAATGGTTACTTTAAGAGTAATAAAATTTGCACAATTCAAACCAGATATTACTCTTAGAGTTTGACTATCTGTTAGCATTTGTCAATAATGTTTGGTCTACCTGCTTCAGCCAACAGCACAGATTTCCACATACTCCTTCATTTTCTTCCACCTTTGTATCTTACACCTACCAGATTTATTGTCTTGTTTCTGTCAATTTTATCTTTTAGGTACTGGGTCATTCTATAGCTCTGTATTCTGTTTATTTTCTTATAATGGTAGCCCACAAATGGTTCATGTAAGTCAATTTTAGCCCATTGAAAAATATAAAATTTATCGACTTGAAATGCTATGTGATGAGTATTTTTTGTAATCCCTTAGTGCAACTAACATATTTTGAAAGTTTTAATGTTAATACAGAAGTAGTCAGTTAATATATGAATAGAATACCAAAAGGTATTTTCTTTTAATTAGAGAATTACAATTAAAAGATAAGCCTTTTATTTATTTATTTTGATTTTTTTAGTTCTTATTCTCGATAATTTCATACATGGGTATTGTCTTTGCTTTATTTCCTTCCCCCCCCAGATCCCCACCAACTCTTCCATGTCCCCACTGTCTCAATTTCTTGTCCTCTTCTTTGATTATTATGTTATATATCCGTACATTTATGTGTGTGTGTATATATATATATATATATATAATGCACTGAGTCCATTTAATAGTGCTTATATGTACCTGTGTTAGGTTTAAGGCTTTCCATTTGGTATTAGATAACCTCTCTAGGAGCTAGTCCCTGAAGAAAATTGATTCTCCCTCAGCATCAATTGGTTACTTGTAGCTCTTCATCTTGAGATGGGACCCCCATGACATCCCCCTTCATTCACCATGACATGTCAACTGGTTTTGTCATTATACAAATCTCATTAGAATACCATACAATGGAGATTCATTGGTACAGCCTCCCCACTAAATTCACAGGTTCACCTAACTAGGCTTAGGTAGAAACGTTTCTTTGACCTGTCATTGGTTTCCTATATGGACTTTCCATGTCTCCTCAGGAAAAGTCATATAAGACATGGTAGTTCACCAATGCTATTTGATCTGTACCAGTGCCAAGCTACAATACTAAAATAAGCTCAGAAATCTAAGAGTTTGTATTCCTTACCCTTCCTTAAAAATAAGATTTCAATTTTTAAAACTTTTCTTTAAAAGCCAGGCATGATGGTATATGCCTTTAATCCAAGCAATCAGGAGGTAGAGGCAGGTGGATCACTGTGAGATCAAGGCCAGCCTAGGATGGTCTACATAGTGAGTTCCAGGCCAGCTGGGGTTATATGGTGAGACCCTGTCTCAGAACAAACAAACAAACAAAACAGACAGAAGACAACAGGGTGTGGTGGTACAGGCCTTTAATCTCAACACGTGGGAGGCAGAGACAAGCAGATCTCTGTGTGATCAAGGCCAGCCTGGTCTTTATAGTGAGTTCCAGACCAGCTGGGGCTACAGAGAAACCCTGTCTCAACAAAACAAAACAGACATGACTTTTAACATCTTCACCTCCTTCTGCCCCTTTTCCCAAAGCCCTAGCATTTTATACCACCCTAATACATTTATTCTTGTTCTATGGACACATATCACGTTGTGGGAATTAACCCAAGGCTGATCTAACCTGTCAAGAAGACTCAAACCATACTCAGGATTTGGAAGAAGTTTATCCTTTATTGTGCATGGGCCCAGCCTGAGCTTCTGCTCCAGGAACTCAGGCCTGGACCAGAAATACATACAGGTTTTTACAGGATTATTCACATCATCCCTTGGCAGTAATTATATTGGTGGATTTGAAACTTCCAGCATAGATGTATATGTGCCCCTTTAACTATTAGAGGAAATTTAAGCAGTCAGTGTTTTTAAAGAAAAGCAGGATATTTCAGGCAAGTGTGGGATTGTGACATTTACCAGTACTCTGCTGATGCCAGTTCAGTCTTAGCTATTTTAACAAATAGGCCACATTGTAGCAGGTGCTTCCTCAAAGACCACTGCAAGAGGCAACATTCTTTCTTTTAATAGTTTATTTATTATTTTTATTTTCTGTGTATGAATTTATTGCCTGCATGTAGGTAGGTGCACCTGTGTTGTGTAATGCCCGTGGAGGTCAGAAGAGAGCATCAGATTCCTCTGGAACTGGAGTTACAGACAGTTGTTAGCCGCCATGTAGGGGCTGGGAATGGAACCCAGGTCCTCTGTAAGAGCTGCCAGTGCTCTAACCAGTGAACCATCTCTCCAGACCCAAGAAGCAACATTCTTTTTTTTCTTTATTTTTTGTGTATGAGTGTATTGCCTGCATATGTGTAAGTGCATCCATGTTGTACAATGCCCACAGAAGTCAGAAGAGAATGTCAGTTCACCTGGAACTGGAGTACAGATAGTTATCAGCTGCCATGTGGACACTAGGATTCGAAGTTGGGTCTTCCGCAAGAGCAGCCAGTGTGCTCTTAACCACTGAGCCATCTCTCCAGCCCAAGAGGCAACATTCTTTAAGGTGCTCACAGATTGTGTTTTTTGTGGTTGTCTGCCTTCTCTTATCTCAGCCTGAGACTGAGCTCAGAGTGGCCTTTATGATTACGTACAAGTAGAAACATTCCAAGTGCTGTTACTTCTACATATATCAACAAGCACACTTAATTATTAGAGTATATAAGGTTCTTGTCAAATATATTTGTTAGCACTTACTCATCCACACAGAACAAAGTTATGCTGAGGTCAGATTTTAATAGTTCCACATTAGGTTAATTTTCCCCCATCATCTCTACACTCAGAAGTGTCCCATGCTACAAAATAACTGTAAACTTAACAATAAAAAGCCAAAAAAATGATCCAATTCACAAATGGAAAAATAACTTAACTGATATTTCTCCAAAGAAGATAGGCAAATGGCCAGTAATTTCATGAAAAGATGTTCAGCATCACTAATCATTAGAAAAATGAAAATCAAAAATTGCAAGATGGTGTTTCCTGTCCATTAGGATAACATTAAAAAAAAGAACAGGTGTTGGTGTGTGGAGAAATTAAAACCTTTATGTATTTCAGATAGGATGGTAAAACTGTGTGCCCTTTGTAGAATGTACCTGCTTAAAATCAATTAAACATAGAAATTACAATATGATCAAGCAATTCCATTTCTGAATATGCACTCCAAAAGTTCACACATCTGTATGTCTGTGTTTCAGACTTATTCACAGTTGCCAAAAGGCAGAAGCAGTGCTATGCCCATTGAAGAATGAGTGAATAAACAAAATTAAAAATAAAAATTTTTAAAAACTAAAATGATATACTTACCACAGTATTATTCCACCTTAAAAACAAAGGAAGTTGTGACATGCTGCATCATGCATGAACTCCAAAGACATTATTACACTAAGTGAAATAAGCCAGTCACCTAGAGACAGAAAGTAGAATGGTGAATGGGGTGACTGGAAGGCAGAGGGAGGGAGAGTTGATCAATGAGAGCTGTGTAGCAACTTCCTCCAAGATAAGACATTGCATCCAGGAGGGAAGATCCTTAAGATGCAGGATGTTTTAAAGGGAGGTAAAGCATCCCATCCTGCAGGGAAGCTTCTTGAAGCTCAGGAATTTAAATACCTTCAGGAAGTCCCTGAAACTGACAGATTCACTAGGCCCCTCCCCTCCCAAGCATCTATAAGCCCTAAGGACTGCTGAGAACTGCTCCATACCAGCTCAGCTGCATAGAGGAAGTGCTGGCCAGCTGAGCTACCTGAAAAAGACCTTCAGCCTGTCAAAATACCTATAGGTTGTACAGGGCACTCCAGGTTTCCTGCTTTCAGCAGCTGCATGTCACCCATGCTAGGGCGGGCTTTTGGTGATGCAGCTGTCTTTGATTCAGTTCTGTTCCTGTAAGTATCCACTCACCCATACTCCTATAAGTAACCCTAATAAATTCAGTGGCTTACTATTTTGAACTTAGTGGTATCTTTACTTTGGTGCATTGTTGGTTCCCTGTCTGGGGTGAGTAGACATTTGCTCATACCTCTCCAGGAACAGTGTCACACAACAGTTAGTATGAAGTTTTAGTAAGGGCAAATGGGTAAAGTTCTGGAGATAGATGATAGTATTGATCACAGAACAATGTAATGTATTTAATGCCACTAAGTGGTACCCTTATAATGCTTTAAGTAATCAGTAATAACTCTAAGTATCTCTCCTAATACCATCACCAAAAAATAAAAACTGTGGACACATACTAATGCAATTTAGATAAGAAATTTAATTTTACTAGTATGTGAATAAGTTTACCTTTTAGATTACTTCTCCCCTATTCTTTCCCAGATAGTTGAAAGAAACCACCATTCAGTTGGTCCAATCAGAAAGGGGGAGGGCAAAAAAAAAAAAAAAAAGAAGTCACTCTGTTTGCCTCCTTCCCTCATCTCTTATCCAAATCCTCACTTGCCTATTCTACCTCCAGAGTCCATCAACATTACTCCATCAATGCTTCTTCGTCCTGGCCACCATCCTTTTGTCCTGAACTAGTGCAATGCCTTTTAACTCATATGAGGCTCTATACTTCTGTTCTTGGAGGAGGTCGGGGAACTGAGATAAAAAGGAGCATTCTGAGCTGTGCATGGTAACACATTATTTTAATCCCAGCCTTCAGGAGACAGAGGCATGTGGATCTCCTGAGTTTGAGGCCAGCCTAGCCTATATAGCCAGGTCAGCCTGTCTCAGAAAGGAAGAAAAAAGAAATGGCATTCTGAGCTGAGGAAACCTCATTTTAAAATCCATGGAATTGTTTTGTTATAGTGCCATGGCACACATCAAATATTGCACATTGCAGTTAGAGCTTTTCAAAGAAAGGTAATGATGGTGAGGTACTAAATCTATTAGTCTTTGAAACAGCCTAGCAACAGAGTTATAACAAAAGCACTGACATACATTAAATGCTTTGTGCTGGGTACTAAAGTCACAAAGGTGAATAAAACAGCATCTGTACTCTCAAAGTAAGCCCATGTCTAGTTGTAAAGACACACAATGTGCAGTACCATTATGTTTGTTTGGAGTAGAGGAAGATATCTGACCTTGTTGGTTATAGAAGGCTGCAAGTGGAAGCCAGAGCTCAGTCTATAAAAAGTAAGTGGTAGCCAGATGAAATTGGGGCATTTGTTTAGATGAGGAAAATTGTTCTAGTTGGAGTAAATTGTGCCTGCACATAAACACATGGAAAATTGCATCTTGTAGTTGAAGAACTGATTTATATAACTAGAATATAAAGTATTTGTGATTTAGGTCACAGGACTAGTAAGAATCTCATGAGAGTATTGAAATCACACAGGAACC